TATAAGAGACAGCTCTTGGGCGGTGCGCTGGCGAGGAAGTGAAACGGAGGAAAAGGATGATGCAGAGGTAGTTTAGGGGCGTTGTTGCGTCATCTGAGCGCCTGAAGTGTGTAACTGTTAGAGTAGACGGGACTGCTACCTCACGGTACCGGCTCATCGGCCTGCTCGCAGGCAGGATCCGCACCGAGATAATGGAGCTTTTATTACTGCTTCTACATACTCTCTGTGTGACTGAAATCCTGCTGGTGCCATCTCCGCACGGATTTAAATCGCTCGGCTTTCCTTTCCTAAGGGTGGCCCATTAACCTTCAATTGCCATGTCAGTGAGCGCTGACAGTGGCAGCGTCTCTCTGGAAGAACTGTTGACTGCACCAGCTACATTCATAGAGGTCAAAATGGAGATTGGAACCTGGTGGGCAATTTAGTCATTCTGTGTCCATGTGAAAAGCCTCACAGGACTTTTAGCAGGGTACAAAAATCACTCAAACACGTTCTCGTGTATGTTTTCCTGTCATTGGGCAGGGGACTCAGAGGAGCTGGTACAAAGAAATACAGAACAGCCCCTTTTCCTTGCCCATCAAAGAGTGCAGAAAAAAAGCAGCAGAATAAATTTCAAATGCTAAAATTCCTTTGAGCAAGTTGAGATGTTATCAATAATGAAAATCAGGAGGAATTTCTATTCAGAGATTGATGCACTGATCTTTTAGCTGCATAAAATAATGTTTATTCTTAACAAGGGGAAATGTAATCTATAGCTTCAGCAAACTGAGTACTAAATGGTAAATACAAGCTATTTCACACAAACTATTTCAAGCTTTCCCTCAAGATACCTCATAAAAGCTATTTCAAGCTTTCCTTGTCTCTGATTTAGCACATTTTATGCTCCATGCTAACCCACCAGAGGCCATAAGTATTTCATTATCTTGGAGCTAGCATTTGATTAATACAACTAGAATTATTTCACGAATTATTCTTAACTAAAAATTAGATGTGTTATATCAAGTATTAAAAAAAGAAAAAAATCAATTTAAAAGTCTGCATTGTAATAAGGATTATTTCTGAAGATTTACATTATCTGAACTCCTCTTGCTATAAACCCAGAAAATAAGTAAATATCTGCTGTCACTTTTATTAAAGCTCCTATCAGCACACTCCCCTACAGAGTCTCTATTAAAAGCTTTACTAAATCTTTCCTCAGTGGAGATGCAGTGGCAACTGCATGTCCCACAAAGGGAGGATCAGGCCAGCAAAATTTCCCAGACAGACACCCTTAATTAAGCAGTTACTTTTGCATTATGCACTTCCCTGTCCCTCAGAGTTTGGTTTAATTTAGAGAGGGAGGTGCAAAACAAGCCTGGCAGCCTGCTGCTTTCCCAAGAAATTTACACCTCTCTGTACTCCAAGGCAGCTTTTACAGGTCACTGTTCCATGAATCAACAACATAAAGTTAGAGCTGTCCTTCCCTAGCAAAGTTCTGGTGAAAGGCAGCAGTGGAGATTCTGCCTCTCACCAGCTGTCCTGTTGTGGTAAGACCGTGGGTCTCTAGGAGGAACATCTGGGTCTGTGA